AAACATATTGATGTAAGGCAGTGATAGCCAATACAAGGTCATCTGGGGGCCAGTATATAGTAAAAGTATATCATCTGACCTACATCTACAAAAATTTTCAAACCTTAAAAAACTATGTTCTGAAGTTTATTAATTTGAATAAAATAATGACAAATGTATGATTTTAAAACTTTTATTAATAATTTGTGATAAGACATTTCAAAAATATTTTTGAAATAAATAATTTTGTTGTTTCAAGACTTTCACTAATGATTTGAAGTCCACTACCATCGATACCTCAACCAGATGAAGTCTGCTTGTTTCCGATATAGCAATTCTGAGAATATAGGACAATGCAGTCAGTTAATCAGTTTCTAACCTTGGATTTGACAAGCTTCTTGGCAGAAAAAGCTATCTCACAAATATAGAGCATAATTTTAGGACCCATTTTCTCATATGTAGTAAAGTTTCTTTAAAAGTAACTTCCATAAATATAAGTAAAAACAAAACCTTTAAACAATCCAGCAAATCGTTTTTAATATCTTAGAAATGCTTTCAAATGCTTTAAGCGATCATCTTCAGTTATCATTTTGAATTGAATGAAGAATTCGAAATTACGTAAAATAATAATTCAAAAAGTGGTTACATAAATTTATGTTAAGATTTAACAAGCTTAATTAATCACAAAGATTATACAAGTTAATTAAGAGGAAATATAGAACTAAAATAAAATATACACATCCAGTAAAAATTATCTTAATTAACTTTCCCACTTATATAAACTACGTCAACTCATCGTAGAATGATTTCCATGCCGATGACAATCCGTCAGCATCCCTATGATTGATACAGCCTGTGTGCAACTGTGCCTTGTGAATTTCTAGTTTTTCCAGATGTTTCACGGCCTGCTTGGATCTTGTAGCCTTGATGACTGACGCCTGATCCCAGAAGACCTCGATATTCTGCTGTTTGGTGAAAGCAGCAAGCACCGTAGAGTCTATGTTTTTTATTCACCGAATGCTTATGTTCAACAATTCTTTTCTTTAAGTTTCTCATGGTTGCTCCTATGTATACCAAATTGGAGTTAAATCTACTGTCTTTTAATGGTACTGAGTATACTCCTGCCATCGCGTTGCGATCATAACTGCCTTTATCGTTTCTTAAGAGTCTGTATATGGTGGGATTATGTCTGTAAACTATCTGTATATTCTTACTTCTGGTAACTTTCTTAACAATTCCTTTGAGAAACGGTATGTAATTGAGCACAACTTTTTCCTTATGTTGATTCCCTCCCTGTGAGGGGTGACACTTCTGACAATTCGCAATGAGAGTATCTATTCTTTCTCTATGGTATCCTTGCTGTATCGCTATGTTTCGGATATATTCTAATTCTTTGTAAGTGTCACAGATGCTGGTGCAATGCGTGTGCGGCCTACTTATTCATGACCGAAAAACCACCATTTTTATATGCTCAGTCTGCGGAGTTCCTAGGAATGATAATAGGAATATAACTAGGTTTCCTGTATATATCTGTTTTGATTTTCCCTTCCTTGCAAGTTATAGATACATCCAAAAAAATTAACCATGCTTCCATTTTCCTGCTCTAGCTCCAGAGTTAATCCGTACAGGTTGTTGTTAATCAGATCTATGAACTGGTTAACTCTGCGATTATCCTTCCATAAAATAAAGATATCATCAACATATCTTGCATAGGACAATATGTCCTCCTGGAACGAGGGGAGTATGGAAAATGTATGAGTAATTAAGATATTTCTTTAAATTTTTGCCCACTTGTCTCCTGTTGGGAATATGTAAATGGGAAATTCTGGGAATATGTAAATTTTAAAAATATCACCCCAGTGTTGAGGATGAAAAAAGTATAGAGTAACTGCACTGTAGAGAAAAAATTAATTGCCTCTTGACAGCAGTCAACAGCACTTTGGCCTACCAGATTTAGTGAATGAGCTGCACAGGACACAAATATAGCAAACTTGGTTTTTTCTAAAATTTTTTGCTGCATCCCCACTCTGCTAATATGCCTGCTTAAACTACCCAGACATGTTAGCAATGTTGTCATAAGAGTGACCCCCTATATTTTGAAAAGTTTAGCTTACAATCTTCACATAAGTACTGCAACACCTGATTTGCCATTTCCTCACCTGTAAGGCTTTTCATTTCCAGAAAGGTTAAAAAGCATTCAATAAGTTTTCCATCTTTTAAGTCCCTAAGTACAACACTCAACTGATTGATATGTAATAGATCTGGTGTTGAATCAACTGACAAACTAAAATAACCAGAAGATTTTATTTCGTCAACAATGAATGCATTGACCTTTTGTGCCATTAGTTGAATGAATTCCTCACAGGTGGTTTTGCACAGGTAAGAAGGATTTCCTTTGCCAGAATTTCCATATTTTGAAATGTGGCCTACTAAAAATAAATCAAACTGGCTTATGAGCTCAAGCAGCCTTAAGAAATTCTCATTTTGCAATGATTCAAACCTTTCTTCTGTTCCTTGAAAAGCCAAGCCACATTCAGCTAACATATGAATAATAGCTATGACATGCCTCAAGACATGTTCCAGTAATCACACTCGTCCTGAATTTGTTTCTCCAATTGTTGCCCCAACCTTGCACCTTGTCTAAGAGTTAAGTATGTTAACATAGAGTCTCAGTGAGTAGTGCTTTTTTCATAATTATCAATTACAATAGTGTCCAACAAAAAGTTTCTGTGAACAATATCTCTCTGGTTTGCCACTTTTGAAATGCCAGTAAGACTTGTCAAATGGCCCATTGTGGTGTTGACAGTTGTGAGGCTCTGGACAGATCCGAACCCTCACTAAAATTCACAGAAAATAATTATTTTAGAGAAAAAATATTTAGTAGTTAGAAATAGATTTTTATTTTATGAAAACGCGACGCTAGACAATAGAAGACTTTAAAACAATAGAAGAATGTAAGTCCGTCGATCATTTCCGGTTGGAGATTGAATTAAACTTCGATTTTGACCCCTCCCGCGCCCCCGAAAGGTTTCGAATTGTCATCAGGTGACGAGGAGAGACCAATTGGAAAGGGGAATCTGAGAGAAAACAGATAAAACCCCGGAAATTCGAGGACGCGACGGCTTCTTCTCCCGAAAGTTCCAAGTGATGTGTCTCGCACCCATCTTTGTCTCCATCTCCCGACCTCGGATCGACATCTTTCCATCAACAGAAGTCGACCGCATCGTCTTGGAGTCGTCGAGACGTGATGGAATGGTTCCTTCGCGAACAAGGGACACTTCTTCAAAATGGGACTGTCTTGGAAAAGAGAGGAAGACCCAGAGGCCGCAGCCGCCGCAGAACTTCCAAGATCGCGGGAAATCTTGTAAGCTTCTTTCGTGTTTAATAAACGGTTATGTTGTTTGTAAACAAGGCATCTATCTCTGACTCAACTGCTTCCACATGTCGTTGATTGTTACCGCTCGGCAATCCAAACGGCAAGGGAGACGACGACGATATAAATCACATATTATCGTTCGTCGAGATTTTTTTATTTCTCCCCCCTCGGCCCCCACACAGTCACTTGGTTCACAAGCAATCCAATAAGCCACATCATCAGCAGAGAAATCACGCCACAACCCTGGATCCTTTGCAGACAGAATAATTTTACCTTGGCACTACATACAAAAAATGCACATGGAGATATCACCAGCCCTAAGTAAATTGACAGACATAATGAAATACAAACTCAATTATCACCACCAGTCAGTCCATCACATGATAAATAAACAATAGAAAATATATGTATAGTCAAAAGCAGACTATACACCAGTGTTTCTCAACAGGGGCAATATCGTCCCCATGTGGGCATTTTTCCATGTTGAGGGGGCGATTTGTAACAATTTATATTTTGGGGGCAAAAAACAATTTACTGGGCGATATAGTAAAACATTATATTAAGATTAATTAAATATTTTATTCGTTATATCCTACAATAATTAATCAAATAACATTATACTAGTCACTAGTCTATTCAATGCAGTATGAATTTGGTGTTAGCCCTGGCCCACGGCATCAGAATTTTGAAGTGAAGGAGGCGATGATTTGTTAGAGGTTGAGAAACACTGCTATACACCATTTGGTCATTTTCTCAAGTTTCATGACATTTCATAAGCACTTCCACAAAATTATGAAACATTAATTACATTATTTGTTATCAGTGTCATAAAAAAAGGAATCAGCTTACTTACAAAGTTACAATGTTAGCACATGTGCTGTTGCCTGTTGGCATGCTGGATGCTGATTGAGGAGTGGAATTTCATGACCCTTGTAGGAGTTTGCACTCTCTGAATGCTCTTGTTGTCATTGTATAAATCTGTATGTAACTTTTTCATTTAATGTGGGGCCCCTTTTGCAGAACCTGGTTCAGCTGCACTGTTTACAGTATTGCACCATATGACCCATGGACCATTTGGCTATGGAAAATTTGGTATAATTTGGAAAATGCCATAGCCATAATTTCCATAGCCAAATTTATCCAAATTTGGCTATGAAAATTTGGATAAATTTATCCAAATTTGGCTATGGAAAATTTCTGTGGTGCCCTTCCCAACCTAAGAATGTGCTTATTTTTGCTTAATGGTTAATCCACCATGGGTAAGTCTGAAATTGCTTGCATAATGTGCTTTCAAAAATTTGCTCAATTGAATGATTTTCAAGCAAAATCAAGCATATAAATATGACAATATTACACCACAACATTTTAAGTTAGAAGTAAAATATTTGAAAACTAGTATTGAAAACACAAATTATAGTTGATAAAATTGTATATCATTTCATTATAGAACTAAAATAATTTTTCTTATTTCAAAATTCAAAAAAAAAAAAGGATAAAAACATTCAACAATTACAAAATATATGAAATCTATATTTAAAAATTTATCACATATGTAAGAGAGACTGTTTTGATCATAAAAAATTGATTGTTCATTTTATTTAATTTTGTATTTAAATTCTGTATATAAGAAATAATATATATTTACCACTTCTGATATAAAAACTCCAGGTCCATTCTTTCTGCCCACAATACTAAGTCCAAGCCCTCTACCAGATTTTTTATAAAGTTCAACTTGTAATGTATCATATTTTTTCCCATGATTTGATCCAGGTTCCCTGTAAACTGTTAATTGCACTATAGATGGTGACTTTTGTAAAGCTGTAATAGCATATTCATGACAAACATTCCTGAAGTTTTCACCATTTAACTGAAAAAGCAAAATTATGAATTGTAATAAAGCAATTCATTATAATATAAAAAGCTTTTGTTGAATACTTCAAACTTTAAAAAATAATAAAAAATAAAAAATAAGAAGAAAATGTCTCCATTAGAATTTTATTTAAAGGCTGTTCAATAAATTATATATTTAAAATTGAATGATAATTCATTCAAATAGAAATTGTTAAAAAAAATTAACATATAAGATAAAAATTATCAAAATTAAAAATAAATTTATTAAATTATAATGAAAATATCCTGCAAAAGGTCTTAAGCACTTGTTGTTAAGAATATATTAATGACAAGTGGCTAGTAAATTATTAGCTTCATTCTAAATGTAATCAACATTTAATATCTCATTTTATTCACATAAATAAATTGAATATAATATTACACCACTAACATGAGGAAATAGTATTTCTGTATAATTATGTACAATATTTAAGATTAAAGAATGTATTACTTTAATCATTACAATTTTTTTTAATATATAAACTAGACCTATACTACAGATGAGTAAGAATTTTCTGTGGCTAGTAGATTTAAGTTGTATTTTTGGAGATCTGTTTATACACTGTATTCATATAATATTTTAAAAAGATTGATGTTGAAACTAAGTAAAATAAAATAAAATTTGCACAAAAACTTTCCTACAAATTTCTTAAAATTTATATATTACAATCAAATATTTCATACTGTAAAGCAAATATTTAAATTGAAATGTTTGTATAAAACATATTTACATAAATATTAATCTAATGTTGTACCAAAGGTTTGTAATTTAATATGTTTTTCTAACTTTTATGTTATAATTTGTTTTTTTTTATAATTATATTCTTGGTAAATACTTCACTCAAAAGTATTAAATTATTTTCCAGTAACAATTAATTCAAAAAAGTTTTTTGACTAATGTTTTCGATCTTCAATTGCAGATCATCTTCAGGTCTTGATTCTATTATATATTTGTTGATGAAATTATTTACTTTGTAATTTTATGTATTTATTGTTATTTTTATTTCTATTTTATATATCCCAAGAATCTCTTTCATTTGAAAGTTATTTAAAATTTTTCTATAAACATCATTCTTTGATTTAAGCATTCCATCAATAAATATAGAATCAAGACCTGAAGATCTCCAATTGAAGATTGAAAACATTAACCAAAAAAACTTTTTCGAATTAACTGTTACTGAAAAATAATTTAAAACTTTTGAGTGAAGTATTCCAGCCAATAAGTGGTGTTTTATCTCCTTTATATTTATTGTTTTTTTTTTTTTTGCTGCTAAAGACAAAGGAAATACTCTATTGATATTTAAGACATTACTTTATAAAAATGAATAAATAAATTAATTAGTTTATTCTTTTCTAAATTTAAATTTAAAACTAATCTGCAATTTTTCAAATTTACTTTTATTATGCTTTACTTCTCCACTCTGGTATCTCCATCTTATTGTGATGGTGAGTTTGTATGTCTCAATGGCCCTGAGGGCTTAACTGATGAAGCCCTTAGGGCCATTGGCCAGGGCTACTGGCAAGGTCACCCTTGCTGGAAAGGTTGCAGTTGAGAGGTCAGACTAAGGTAATCTGGTCCTTCAGATTGATGATTGGGCATAGGGCTAACAACCCCTCCCCACAAAAAAAGTTCTTGTTAAAATGGACAAAAGTGAAAAGAGGCTTCTGTGTCTCATGTTAAAAGATGTGAACATAAGGTGAGATTCAGTGTATGGAATGTTCAAGGCCTGTCTGAGTTGAAAGAGCAACAGCTGTTTGAAAATAATGCATGAAGGGAAGGTAGATTTAGTGTGTGCATCTGAAACAAAATGTAAGGTCAAGTGCTTGGATGAATGGGAGGGCTTTTTACATATATCTTCTGGTGTTCCAACAAGAGAATTTGGCATATGCAAAGAGAGCCTCTACATTAGTCCTCATCTGAAAGATTGTGTTAAATCTTATGTGTGTGTTAATGACAAGATTGAGTCCAGTGTGATTGAAGACATTTATTTGCCTTGCATTCATTCAACACATTCAACGCTGTTCTGTTGGATGTCTCGAATGAATGCAAAGCAAATAAAAGGATTGTGTTTTTACATGATATGAATGTGCATGTAGGTGTACGTGATGGATGTTCATGGCCATATGTTTGTAAGTATGGTTTTGACAGAGTGAATGACAATAGTAGTGCAACTGAAGGAGCAAAAATTACAGTATAGAGAGATTGTATCTGCCAAGCTAAATGAGCTGAGTGGATGTTAGAGAAAACCCTGAGAATCTGTTGGATGATGTAAAAAAGACTGTTCAAGAGAAGTGTATGGTACTGTGAAGATGGGAACATGAGTGAGAGTCACTGCATGGTGGAATGAAGAGGTTCCTGAAGCTGTAAAGAGAAAAAAAGAAGCCAGAGATGTTTGAATGGTGAGAGTAAGGATGACTAAATAAAGTGTAACCGTGAATGCAATAAAATTGGAAAAAATAGTAAAGAATGTGTTAAGAATGAAAGAGCAGAGAAATTGGAAGTGGCATTTAAGGATGACCAGAATACTTTCTGGTGGTAATGAGAAAGGTGAAAGGTAATTGTAAATGAATTTTCCTGAAATGTTAAATGTCAATTTACAATATAATTTTACAACACTTTAATTTTGTTTTAATAAATTTGGTAAAACAGGTTTAAATTTTATGACAAGTTTTTCTTTTCTTTATTTGCAAAAAATTGAATTGCTTCCTAAATTTTTATTGCATATACCATATACTTTTTAAGACAATTCTAATAATCTGAACATTGGATAATTTGAAACTTTTTCCAGATCCATAAGAATTTAAATTAACAGTAATTCACTATTTTTATTATTTATTCAATATATTCATACTATTGTTATGTTACATTAAATGTACCTCTACAATTTGATCTCCTGGTTGTAGACGACCATCAGTTGCAGCAGCTCCATCTGGATAAACTTCATGAATAATAATAGCATTCTAAATTATCAAATAAAATCATGCATTAAAATTATTAATATGTGTAATATTTTAAATTATAAGAAGAGGAAATTTGATTAAATAGTATACTGAAATGATTTTAAAGCAAATTTAAATTGACTCAAAGTAAAAATTTATTAAAATTAAAAATAGTCCATTCACCAATAGAACATTAAAATCTTAGACTATTATATCTAAAACACTCGATTTACAATAGTGATAAAATATTTAATGATACAATATACCTTAAAAGGTAGTTTAAGTTATAAATAAAGTATATCAAATAATATGTTCTTAGAATAAGAAAAAAAATTACAAATTTAGATTTTAATATTTTATGTCTAAATAGTCAGAATAACAAAGAAAACTTTTTACAATGAAAGTAATATTTTATGTAAATCTATTTACAGGTAAAAATATCATTTCATTCTTTCTTCATCCAAAATATTTTCTAATTTAAATTTCATTTATTTAGAATTCTGCATATTTTAATTCTGATACATATGTAAGAATAGATATTTTGCAGTAATTGTGCCTTAAAATAATCTAATAAAGAAAATGTCTCAAAAGTGATTCTGTTGTTTTGAAATTAGATATATATAAAAAATTTGATTAAAGTTTACCTTGGTAGCCCCAATGATTGTGCTTCCGGCTGTTAGTGCTCCCAACAGACTCCTCCTGGAGGGGACTGCTGGCTGGCCACCGATTGTTTAATATCATTAGTTATTGATTCAAGGTAGTTCTTGAACAAAAGAAAAAAAGGAAACGTCTACTAAAAATGTAGTTAACCTAATCTAACCAAAGCACCACCATTGGGACTACCAAGTAAACTTTAACCAAAATTTATACTGGCATAATGGTTTTGAATAAATCAGAAGTTTATGACCTTTTTATTTAGAGGATATAGTTACAGGAATTGTTCAAGCATGCACATTGACATGCTTGAACAATTCCTCTAGCTTCTACTTCTTTAAGTTGATATTCTTCACATGATAAACTTTTAACAGGATGGAAAACCATGCCATTATGAAATGTCTGCTTTCCTATTTGTTGAGTTGGTCTTGGTCTTGTATACAGTAGACCCCCTATAATGCAGGTTCCTATAATGGAAATTCCTGTAACGTGGCAAAAAAATTGCGACAGTATTCATATAAAGACGCTAAAAGGGACTCGTAAAACGTCGTCGCCGACTCGTGTTGCGACAGGATTAGTCGAATCTGGACCAATAGTAGACGAGCAGCCGAACTACTTACACGCTACGGAGAGTTTAGGCGAGTAAGTTGAGTTTACTATTGTCTGTACAGTATGTAAATTAGGTACCGTAAGTCTAATACAGTATTGTAATTTTATACATTTCTTGTGAAAGAAACATTTCTTATTCAACGGCCATAAAAATTATTTATATTAATGATGTCTCCAAAGGGCAATGAATTTTTCGCAGAAAAATAACTTATCAGTAATTGCGGCCGCCATTTGGTGCACTGCTCTGCGACGAAAACAAGCTTAAGCAATGGCAACGTCGAACGGTGCACACTCGGTAAGTAATCCTACAATTTTTTGTTTACAGATAGTTTATACGGATTATTCCCAAAAAATTATATGTGTTTTGGAAATGTTGAGTCGAATTAGTCTAGAATCGATTAATTTTATGGTAGAAAACCTTTCAAACAGCCGTAGTCCGTAAACTTCACACATGTCAGGCTGTGATTGGCTCATGTATTTAAGGATTCCTACAAGTGAAATTCGTATAACGTGGAATGTATCTACGTGTTATAGGGGGTCTACTGTATATCCAAGAATTGTAATAGAAAAGGCAAATATAAACCTGAACATGGCTATAACTCATGGTTGTACTTCCATCTACTCTATGTTCAGATAGAAATATTTTATTTATTTGAAGTCCTTACACATCTTCATCAGTAATGCATAATATCAGCCTATGCTGGACCTATCAACTTCCTGGCTGTCTTTCTCCAACACAAAGTAGTTAGTTAATGTTTGGTCACTGTTTAAGTTGACAAGTTTTAACAAATTAATTTTAAAAATTTAAATTCATAATTTTAAATTACCTAAAAAAGTTTCATTTAGTAATGTTATGTAAATTTTTCTGTAAAAGTCTTAAAAAATCAATTTTAAAAATCCATTCCATTTTGATGTAATTCTATTTGAAAAGTTTTAAGAATTTTGTGTTTAACCTACATTTCAAATATAATTTTATTTTCCAAATTCTTTTTAAATATGTTAAAAAAAAGCTTTTCAATTTCTGTGTGTTCTAGATGCATTCTATCTCACCAGATATTGACATTAATGCAATGTCAAAGTGCTTGTGAGTCTTGTTTTTTCTTCTTTGCCTTTAATCCAATGAAGCCTGGGTTGGGCCATGGACCAAAGACCTCCATCTCTATCTATCTTTCCACCACCCCTATTCAAACACCATGGTTACATCATCAGTCCTTTTTCTTAGGTCTTCAGCTATCTTGTCCATCCACCTCTTCCTTGGTCTTCCCCTAGGTCTTCTTCCCTCCATCTTCTCCAATACCAACTTTGGTATTTTATTTTTGTCCATTCTCTTGGTATTTCCAAACCATCTCAGTCTAATTTATTCTATATTCACCCCCAATATTCCATTCCTGTTCTTTCTCTTATTTTTTCATTCCTTATCTTGTCTCTTTTGGTCTTACTCATCATGCTCCTGGAGGAATTTCATTTCTGTTGCCCAGATCTTTTTGTCTTCTCTCCATGATGTAGTCTACGCTGCAGCTCCATAAATCAATATTAGAACAAATTATAATTGATAAAGGACCTCCTTACATTTGAGTGACAGTTCCTTTTTCCAGATCAAGACTTATATTTCATTCTCAGAGTATGAGTTTTGTTTGTTATTAAAAATTTTCAAACACTGACAGGAAATTTGTTTTTGTCATTTATAGATAGCCACTTTTAAAATAACCTGTATTTAAACTAACAGTCCATGCCTACATCATATTTTTTATTTTAACTATTTTAGTACCACAAGTAAACTAAATATTTTTAATATACAGTTATAGTTCTGTATGTAAGCTTAAACAAAGTCTCAAATTTCAATGTAAATAGATTAGTCATATTTTTCAGATTTGAAATATAATCACCATAACTGATATACCTGACTTCTAGTCTACTCAATATTATTTCATTCAGAAAATTTATATTAAAAGACACATGAAGATACAAGAACATAATGTTGAAAATTTAGTAACATAAGAATAACTGACATCCTAATATATTTTACAAAGTGGCTTATACTCAATTGGCTATTTAACCCTTTTAAAGCCATGATGTAAAGATGACAGTTTTAATGTTATTTATAATTTAGGATATCTTAAATTTTGATTATCGATATCCTAATTATGATATCAATTATTGAGAAATGAGAATTAAAAATAATGGCATTGAGGAAAATCTTGATAGCAAAATATCAAAATTTTATAATACATCAGTGGAAACATGTTCTTGTTCATTTTGGAATTCTTTTAGTGCACCATGTTGTCATATTCTTATGATAAGAAAATATAATAATTTGGACATATTTTCAAAAACTTGCTTTTATGCAAGATATATTATTTCAATTGATAATGCACTAAGTATGGATACAGGTGATGTAAATATAGACATCAATGATCATATTGAAGATGAAACTTTTACTGATGATTTTGATTGTCCCAACAAACTATTATCGGAGAGGGAAAAATTTAATACGGTACTGGCGATAACTAAAAATATTGCAGATATTTTGTCTGATTATGGAACATCAACTTCAATAAATATGTAGAGGAATTAAAAGTAATAGAAAGCAATGCAAGAAATAGAATTTCTCTTTTTGAACGTGAGAGTAGTGGGCTTAGTACAATTGAACCAGAACAAATTCAGTCTAATAATGAGCCCTGTTCAAATCAATCAAATAAAAACTTAAAATTCAAAACTAAAATTAAATCTGAAGGACGTCTGAAGAGAAAGACTAAGCAGACCACTTTTTACAAAAAAAAAAAAATTAAAATGCAGAATAAAAAATAATATATTTATTTACTTTACTTTATTGGTATACCTACCAATCTACTTTAAATTTCATTACCTATATTACACTGATTTAATGATACTTCATAGTTTATTGATTACTTTATTGAACAACATTGTAACTGAACTTTAATAAATAAAAATATAATTATTTATAATTGTGTAGTTATTATCAAAATATAAATTGTAATAACAGCACATACAGTCAGTATCCGGCCAGAATATAGGAACATACGGTCAGTACGTATAAATAGCCATGTTCTATATTTTAATATTAATTTTATAATATTAATATTTCTTAGAAGGCATGTGCATTGCCAAACTATGTATAAAGAATCAAAATTAAAGAAAAATATAAATAAAAATTATTTTACTTTTAAAAAATCAATTTTTCAAAAATATTTCCTCAAAATTGATGAAAAAACTTTATGGGTTAATTGGTTATTACAAGTACAGGT